AATGTATTCACACCCCCCCCCCCCCCCCCCCTCTCCCTCCAACACACCCACACTATCTATCCAAAACTAAAGACTTTTTTCTTTTTCTACTGTGACTAAAGCTTTGCACCCCATTGAAGTCTTTATCTTAGAATGTACAGCCATTTTATAAAATGTAACCATAAATGTAATTTAACTTTTGAATGATTGGCTAGCTACGGTAACATCCAACCTAAACTGAGATATGGGGGGAGGGGGTTGTGATGGGTGGAAAAGGGTTTAAGCATATAACGTGCTCAAAGGAAATCAGAGTAAATATAGGGTATGTTAGTGTGTGTTTAACTCCCTGTCTTCTATCTCAGGCCTGAGTCTGGCGGAAGAACAATCTGTGTACTCCCCTTTGAGGGATACTTTTCCAGATGATCCACGAGTGCATAACACCAAGAGGAAAGGCTGCGGGTACTCCCCACTTGCAGAATACCAGAAAGGAAGGAGACGGTCATCTCAGAATGAAAGAGCAGCTTACAGTGACCGCACCACCAGGAAAGGACATTGCTTTCTTAAAACAAAGCATTGCCAGAATGGGGTGATTGAGAACACTGTGCAGGAAATCTACACCAGTTTCTCGGAACGTCTGCAGGAAGTGTTACAAGAGAAGGACATCTCCTATACTGCAGTTACTATGCCTGTTCTGTCCTCAGAAGAAAGGGAAGTCAGACTTTCTGATTGGCTGTATGCACAGACCTCTAGTATACCTGTACAGCAGTATATAGATGAACTGCGTGTTAAACTGGACAGTGTGGTGAACTCCTATTTAAGCTCTCCTGAGAGGGGCAGGCCTATGAATATGGAGATTGAAATCAAGGAATCCATGAAATCCTTGCATGCCAGTCCACGGCAAAACAGTTTAAATGATCATGCACATCAATCAAAAGACTCTGGTCACATATTGGAACCGTTACAAAGTTCTGAATTTATTCACAATGGCTGTGTGGAAGGGAAGCCTCAAATAAATGTACAGGACACACCGCAGAATGGAAATCCTGTTCCTTTGGCAGAGTCTGTGCCTCATACCTCCCAGGATGTAGGTATAAAGAACCAAGAGACAATTACACCCGATATGCCAGACATTACTGCCTCACGCACAGCACTAGCCCAGCTAATAAATCAAATGAATCCAGAAGTATTCAACAACCTGGTGAAGATCTTCACCCATGTCAACAAGAATATTGTCAAATTCTATATTCACACGGAGCAAGACAATTCAATATGTCAGGAAATAAAGGTAAAGAGATGTGGGTTCAAATTGCTGTTTCATAATAGGTTGTCACATGCTCAAAATGTAAATTTAAAAAAAATCAGACAATTACAGTATTAAATTGAGGCACACATGTGTAGCTGGTTGTTGGTGGGGGACTTGAGCTGTCAGTGACAGCCAAGTTTGAGATGTACCAGCCATGCAAAGTGTAGCCTGGTAGGTCTGAAAGGGAAGAATGATCCTTAGTACGGGACATGGGGGGGGATATTAATAAATTAATTGCTGGCAGTTAGTGGTTAATGAAAAAAACACCCTGAGGACTATTAACAAAACATTAAAGAAGATTGCGAAAAAAATGTCCTTATCCTGAATTTCAAGGAATTTCTTTCTTGTGCCAGTAAGTGACCAGTGGCAAAGCACTGATAATGTGGCAACTTCCAAAGGAGAGGTTCCCTGTTCAGGCAGAGACACCCATTGATCATTATTTTTTGAGCATACGTTCCCCTAAGCCCTTTCAGCTAAGACCATGTGAGCAATGTATGCCATATAGTATACATCCATGCCTGCACATGAGAAATGTAAATCTGTTGGTTTAGATATTTAAACCCACAAATTGTTATCTTCTAACAGTGCTGACTCCAGGGTTCAACCAAACACAGTTCAGTACCTGGAGCATCAGCCATGCTATGTAATCTCCCTGAGCTGAGCATAGCCCTAGCAGGAGGCCATATAAACCGTTCAGTTCCAAAGCCGGTTTCTGTTTTATTTCCTCAGTGGCTGGAAGAACGTAGTCCATTAGAGAACCCATAATCCTCCATGTGCTGCTGCTCAAAGCATAGTTAGTGAAGTCTTGTGTGCCCGGCTTCTTTTCTGTGCCATCCTAAATTGCTGTTATATGGTATCTGAAGTAGACACCATGACATAGGACATGTTCTAAAACAACAGCACTGTTACTGGAATCCTGGCTAAAATTTCTGCAGGAAAGCAAACATGAAATAGGTACTCGTATTAGAAATGTTCTACAAATTTAGCAGTGCAGTTCAGACAGGAATCTGTATGCATGGAAATGTAATTGTACAGTTGTAACGGAACCCTGCATTTTACATCTATCTTTTGTTACAGAATTATTTGCTAAAGCTCGGGAATGTAGAGTGCAGCCCAGAGCAGATTGTAAACTGCACTGCAGGATCTGATAAGCTGCTTATAATCATTCAGAATGAAGACATTGCCAGCAGTATTCATAAGGTGAGTGTTCAGCAATGACTTGTTGGTCCTTTTGTACAACCTCCTTTTTTAAATTAAAATGTTCCTTCTGTAAGGAACAAGTGTGTGTGTGTGTCAAAAGTATTGGGACACCCCTCCAAATCATGGCATTCCGGTGTTCCGTGAAAATTCCTTGCTACTAAATATTCCACGGTCACCTGTTAGTGGTATTATAACAAAGTGGAAGCAACTGGGAACAACAGCCACGAAGTGGTAGGCCACGTAAAATGACAGAGCGGGGTCAGCGCATGCTGAAGCGCACAGAAGTCTCCAACTGTCTGCAGAGACAATAGCTACAGACCTCCAAACTTCGTGTGGCCTTCAGATTGGCACAGCAGCAGTGCGTAGAGAGCTTCATGGAATGGGATTCCATGGCCAAGCAGCTGCATCCAAGCCTTACATCACCAAGTGCAATGCAAAGCGTCGGATGCCCTGATGTAAAGCACGCCGCCACTGGACTCTAGAGAAGTAAATCACGTTTGTCTGGCAATCTGAGGGACGTGTCTGGGTTTGGCGGTTGCCAGGAGAAAGGTACTTGCCTGACTGCATTTTGCCAAGTGTAAAGTTTGGTGGAGGGGGGATTATGGTGGGGGAGTTGTTTTTCAGGGGTTGGGCTTGGCCCCTTAGTTCCAGTGAAGGGAACTCTTAAGGCATCAGCATACCAAGACATTTTGGGCAATTTCACACTCCCAACTTTGTGGGAACAGTTTGGGGATGGCCCCTTCCTGTTCCAACATGACTGCGCACCAGCGCACAAAGCAAGGTCCATAAAGACATGGATGGGGGAGTTTGGGGTGCAGGAACTTGCGTTGCCTGCACAGAGTCCTGACCTCAACCCGATAGAACACCTTTGGGATGAATTAGAGTAGAGACTTCTCGTCAAACATCAGTACCTGACCTCAGAAATGCGCTTCTGGAAGAATGGTCAAACATTCCCATAGACACACTCCTAAACCTTCCCAGAAGAGTTGGCGCTGTTATAGCTGCAAAGGGTGGACCAACTCAATATTGAAGCCCACGGACTAAGACTGGGATGCCATTAAAGTTCATGTGCGTGTAAAGGCCGGCGTCCCAATACTTTTGGCAATATAGTGTGTGTGTTGCATATATGCACAGTGCCTTTTATGTCTTAAGTTATCTACCTTTTTATGTTTCATCAGATCCCATCATTGATAACACTGAAGAGGCAGCCGTGTGTCAGTTTTGCAGGCGTTGACAGCTTGGACGATTTGAAAAACCACACCTATAATGAACTATTTGTGTCTGGAGGATTTATTGTGTCCGATGATACAGTGCTGAATCCTGACAACATTACTGAGGGTAAGATGTTTGCCTACTTATGGTCAACCAACCTAGCTATAAAAGGCAGACAGGCTGGTCCATGAAGAGTGAAGATTGGACTGTACAGTTGTATTCAGAATTATTCAACCTTCATTGAAAATCCGGTTTATTGGCAAATTTACAGACTTTCAGCTGTCTGCAGTGAACAAATCAAACAAACAATTTAAATAGGTGTTTCAAGGGGTTTCCCCAAATTCAACTGAAAATGATACGTGTAATGACTTCTATGGTCTCAAATATTCAACCCCTTCATGGCAAGCATCTTTAGTACATACTAGAGCACCTTTTTGCTGTTATGGCCTGCTGCAAATTATATACATAGCCAGACACAATCTTCTAGCAGCGTTCCTGAGGAATCTTACCCCATTCCTCATGAGCATTGGTTTCCAGTTCAGGTCTGTGGCACCCCCCCCCCAACACGTAGACAATTAACCCCTTCGTGACGGGAGACGTACAGTGTACGTCCTGTCACTTTAGTCTTTTTAACCACACCTGGTTATGGTAAGCCAGGAGGGGGGCTTTTTGTGCCCATTATAGACCTTCACATCACACATAGTGATCACACTACTTTACAAAGTAGTAATTAAAAACAAGACTCTTTTTGCTGGTCAATAGTCCATCTTCATAGGATGTTACAAATGTCCAAATAAAATCCAAGTAGTATAAAGATGGTAATTGCTTACGGCATATACCTTAACATGTTTCGTCCCGTACTTGGCTTCCTCAGGAGGATTTAGCAACGCATGATTTAGGCCAGCTTATTGATACTTGGACCGGACAAATGGACATTGACTTCACCAGGGGGCCGCGGGAGAGACGGCAACCAAAACCAGACCATGTAACACCAGTCAGAGGGCACAAGTGTAAGCTGCTGCTGTGTCTCCAGACATAGAAATACTGCTTGTCTCCATTTCTCTGGTCTGGAATGCACTGGAGCAGATGCACTGCGTTTACACATCTGGTCCAGACATGGAAGAAAGATGGCCTAAACCTCAGTGTCTGTTGCCACCAAGTCTTGCTGCAGGTCTTTTGCAGTCACTCGAGGGTTTGTCTCAGCCTGCCTTCTCAGAAATCTCTTGTGAGGAATTCTACACTATTTAAGGGATTGAATCATTTTGAGACTGTACAAGTCATTAAAAGTTGTATTTTCAGTTGAATTTGGGGAAACCACTTGAAACATTTGTTGTGTTGACCTATTTCAACTGCTGTTTGATTTGTTTATTGCAAGCAGCTGAAGTCTGTCAATTTTGCCAATAAACCTGATTTGCAGTGGGGATTGAATAATGTTGATAACTGTAGATTTAAGGTCATTAGACTAAAAAAAAGTGTGTGGCAGATGGCAAATTGTAACTGGTGATAGGGATTCTTCCCATGATAAAGCCCTCTTATTTATACTGGAGAAAGGCAAAGTCCTGGTTTTGCAGCTGTGTAAACCAGTATGCACTTGACTCTAAA